AGAGGTCGCAAGGGTGCCTGCGACGGTGGAGATGGCTTTACTCGCTGACATATTTCGCAAATGCGAATCCAGTTGTGAAAACACTTGTACATGTGGGGCCACAAGAAGCTTCGTATGATAGCCTCGAATGTCTTTTCGCGGCCCAGATGACCGCCAATTGGAGCATCATGGTACTTGTCGGTAATACAATCACGCATTTCCAAGTCATTCGCAATCACGATTCGAGGGGCATCGAATTTTGCGATGCTATATAACAGCAAATTACTATCCATACTGTATCGTTGAATGTGTTCACGCTTCGTTCGCGAAAGAGCTCCCAGTGCAGCATCACTGGGAGCGCGTAGATAGGCAATAATGTCTGCGTAATGCGGATCTTTTGTGTAAGCCGCGACAATTTAATCGAAAAGGTATAACTCGGGTGTGACCCGACTCAGATCTAACGACACATACGCCGCACATTGATCTTCTTCATCGTCGTCGTCAGTTGCCTGACGACTCAGTGCCATACGAGGATAGTAATTTGGACGTCGTGACAGTGCGTCAGCAAGAAAGTTTGTCTTGACTGGCTTGTAGTGCACGATGAAGTTGTACTCGCAGAAGAAAGAGAGCCACCGTGCCATCCGCTGGAACAGGTGTGGGCTCTTCATCGCTGCGTACAGCGATGCATGATCAGTATACAGGGCGAAAGTGCGTTCGTCCAGTAGGTGGACACGAAACTTGATGATTGCGTAGCGCATAGCTAATAGCTCCTTATCGAGTAATGGATAGTTCTTCTCCTCCGGCGTCATCTGTCGTGATTGGTATATCACGACTCTTTCACGGCCCTCATGATCAAACTGCATGAGGTAGCAAACAATTGCAAAGTCGCTTGCATCACACACCACGTGAAACGGCTTGGTGTCGACAGGGAATACTAACAATCGCGCTGACGCCAAGCTTTTCATCACTGCGTCAAAGGCAGCTTGATGCTCGGGATGCCACGACCACGTAGGTTCTTTTTCAGAAGTGACGACAGAGGCTGTATAGAACCGGCGTAATCCTTTGTGTACTTATGCAAGTATTTAATTAGCTAGACCGAGCCATTAACGAAACTCCAAAGGATTCTTGGGAGTGGGTCGAGAACAGATTTATGACAGCTATTCTGGATCGGCTCGAACTCCCGATTTACTCACGTAGCAACTTAGCACCGGAATCTCCGGTGCACAGATAAAAACTTCTTTAATTTTGCATGTAACTTGTTATCCCTCATGACTTAAAACGTCTGCTCTAGGTATTAAAGATGAACTTGAACAGCACTCAGGTTGCCCTCAGCGCGACTGTATACAAAAATCATCGAATTTGCTAGGAGCAAAGTCTCGAAGCGGTCTCAATACTTGAGATTCCATGCGATTGAAAGTGGCTGGTGCGTTTTTCAATCTTTGTGGCATCACCAGCCACTCACATAGCATAAAACTTGGACTAAACCCCGCGGTGAGTGATATGTCACTCTGTCGAATATTATCTGGTAAAAGCCATCGGTCAGATCTATGCGCTGAAGATGACGATGCCTGACATGGAATTTAGAACCATGTGATTTCTGGAAAAGGCGTTTGGGCAGGAATAGTGGCATCTTTTAGCTTGTTAAACGCATGCACTATACGCCAGCCTACCGTAGCCTTCTTCACGCAGAAAATTATAATCTAACGGGGTGAGGCAATTTTACGCACATGACCGGCCTTGAGACGACCTTTAAAGAATGCATCAATAGCCTTGACTTGGTCTCGAGGCAGCGGCCACTGGCGTGTAACACAATATATCGATACTGGCACGAGATCAAATTCGTGCCGCACGCCACGATCGGCATAAAGTTAAGCCAGAATCTTGTCCGTGAACACGTAAGTGTATTCTCTAGCAATGGCGTAGACAGGGTACCAGACTCGCGCAGAGCCTCTTAAGATTGCGACGCAAATCTTTCTTCGCGCGCTGACTTAAGTTCAGCGCTTCGAGTGCGTGTTATTCGCTCCTCATTCGCTCATAGATCACCTTGTTGGTAACCAGACATACTTGTTCCACCTTGCCTCCCTTGATGTTGCGTAGAAAATGATTCCAGGTGAGTCCTGAAAGGCTCGTAATCGATGACGCGTCGCAAGGTGGACACTCAACCTCACTGTATTGGCGTCTTTGTGGACTTCCGACCACGTATACAATAGCGTGGACACGCTCCAACGCTGAGTTCCGTAGCTGCCGTCCCCATCGTGCTTCGATTCCATGCTAGAAGCTGGCAAACCGCAGTCAGGTGTTAAATCTGCACCCCCTTTTGACGCTGGATGTCTTCATCCAGGACGTCGAAAGCGCGCGACGAGAGTAGTCCATTATCGTCCGTCGACGCATGATGCGGGAGTCCCTGCTCGACCACGTCTTGCCCGTGTGGGAACCTCTGTTCGACTACAGTGAGCGATGATGGGAACCCCTGTTCGACCATCATGTTCCTACGTGGGGACTCTTGTACATCTAAGTCACACTCGGAGCGATCCGCTGCTCGGCCACATCTTGCCATTGTGGGAGCCTCTGCTCGACCACAATGGATGCAGGTGGCACACCTGTTCTACCACTGCCTCTCGCGCGAAAGCCTCTGCTCGTCCGCGTCGTCATTACGCGGGAGCCACTGCCCGTCCACGTCGGGTTTCTCGCTGCAAAGCGAGGAGACATCGTCACTCGTGCGTAGGAGCACGGAACAAGCGGTACGGAGAAGGACGTCGCTAACTCTGTGCACCGCCGTTGTCGTGGATGTACGATCCACGACTGAAACGTTCGACCAATCACTTGGAGACACGGAGAGATGAGTGAACACTTCGCTGACGTCGAAAAAAGTTCGACTTCTCACTGATTTGGCTATAGTGTCGATCCAGGGCTTTTAGCATGCCACATATGGCATGCTTAGAACCTAATAATGCATTTTTCATCTCTATCACCGAGAAATTGTCGTTGATGCGAAAGCCGCTCGAAGTGTACGGCAACGACACTTCGTGCCGCGATACTCGGCGTGGTTTCCCGTCCGCGAGCTTGACAACAACTTGGATAGGTCCCTCGTGGACCCGGATGCTGAGTGGCAGCATTAACACGCAAGATTCACGATCGATTGTTTGTCACTCATGAATCTAGATTCGCTCGTAGGGGTCGCTGGATACCGGCGACATGTAGATTAACAATAACCAGGCGTGAATCACCAAACCTTGTGGTGGAATTTGATCGGTACAAAGCACAGATGGGCTAGGAGGTCGGGCTGCCACCGGTGGACCCGGACCTCCCTTCAAACCAGTAGGGCGCCCTGCCCCTACCGGTCTCGCCCGTTTTTTAGTCGAGTGAGCGGAGCACCTCCCTCATGATGGGTGTCCGTCGCATGCACCGACATCGGTGCTGGCGCGCGGCTATCAGCCGCGCGATATTCCGGCTTTCGAAATCAAAAGCAGATCATCTATTGTCTGATACGGACGTCGCCCTTGTAGGACGTAACACGTTGTAGGTCACCCGACGACTCAATGGCGTCAATCACCATAGGTTTTAAGCCTGCTGATCTGACAGCGGTAACAAATGAAGTCTTAGTTAGGTCTTGGTGACTCTGAAGTCCTCACGAAGGGGATTGCGAAAGCCTCATCCAACGTGGCAGGATCCGCGCTTTCCAGCGATAGGCGAGTCTGCCCTTCAGGCATGCCATCGACATACACGTTCACTTTTGTGTACATGTCCATGGAATGCGTGACAATGCGCGACGCCAGATGTCGAGCCATTTGCACGTAGTCGCGCATGGACTTTTTACCCTGTCTCAAGGCCAGGAACCTCAAACGCACCATTTTATCTTCTTGTGGCGGCTTGAAGGCGATTCAAAAGTCACTCTGGATGGCTTACAGATAAGCGATCTCATACTCTTCCACGACGATTTTACCCAAAGCCTACTCCTTGGCTTTCCCAGTGAGACGGGAAAGGAGGAAGTTGACGTTCGCTTGAGGATCCTCGAGAAGTCTCGAGGCGATAGCGATGTCAACCTCTCGGAGCCAACGCAACAGCGACAAGCGTTCGTTACCTTCGCCAGAGTAGGCAAAGGTCTCCATCTTCACGGCATCGTTCCTTGAAGTCTTCGAAGGAGTTAAACCTCGTCGATTGCATTCGGCGAGCTCGTGAGCCCTGAATCGTGAATGGCGAGACACTGTCCATCAGGAGTCGCTGATTTCATCAGCGACGCAACGAATGCCTTTTTAAATATCGCTTGAGGCGATTTATAGCATCCCACTCAATACCAGTGAGATGGGGAAAAAGTCGCGTGCTACAGACTCAGGTATGAAGCGTCAAAGTACGACGAATCGCTCCTCCTAAAATCGGAAATGGGAACGACTACTAAGCTCTGCCAGGTGTAACGGGGCTAGAACAACCCGTGCTTAGCTTACACTATGTTTGACGCTTTGAGGAAGCTCAAAGCTTAAGTCTCGGGTGTTTAGTATTTTAAATTCTGTTTTATATCTTGTCTTTTATCCATTCTAAGTACGAATGGTTCCCTTGGACTCATGGGAACCACTCAATCTAGTGCCTATATCTTGCTGGCTAATAATGGTACTGAGCCCATGAAACCAGCTAAAATATACGACGTGCCACTTTCGCTACTTCGAAAGTAACACCCCTACTTGAGTAACATGTAAACTTAATCGAAACTACTTATGTAACGGGGTGGTTAATCACAAATCCCAGGCCATATCTCAAGACCTAGCACTGCAGCGTCGCTGTCCGGAGCTAAAGGTCGACGTATGAACTCTTCGATGCTGGTGGGTCAAGATGAGGATGTTGACATGGAACGCCTCGAAAAACCTCCGGTTGATGCTTTCCTCCGTCGGATGATGGCTTACGCTCTTGACACAATCCACACTTCGCCGACGCCCTTGCCCGATATTCGTTTGGTTACTGCGCTATATTCGTCGGCTACTATGTCTTCCAAAAATACACGACATGATGACAATCCCAACGCGCGTGCTATGTATGATGTAGACGACGTTAATGAACCCAAGGATGATTACTTTGATGAGAATTTTAATGACCTTTTTGGTGACAATTATGATGACACTTGTGATGGCAATTCTGATGACACTTTTGATGACAATGACACTGATACTGGAAACATAAACAAGGATGATACAACAGATAACGATGCAGGCAATAACGCTGCTGCTAGTCAGATTGCTACGGGTGAGGTTCCTGTAAAGCACAACTCAGATTTCACGATGAATGTCCCAGATTCTAAGTCCGCTTTCTGGATGCTATTTTCGATGGAGCTTGTCGCCGACGATTTTGGGTACCCTATACAGCTTCTAAGGCAGTAGCCATAATTTTTCAAGGCACGGTGAGCCAATGGACCATTTCTCGGTATCTGGACAGCACGACGCAGACCAACAACACTGCAGAGTATATTGCTCTGGTTGAAGGACTTCGTGGCGCTCAACATCATGGCGTGCGTCGCATCAAGGTGATGAGTGACAGTGCGCTGGTTTTGGAGAGAGTGCGTGGACGCTACTCGTGCAATAACGCTCGACTTCGACGTTTGAGGAACAAGGCATCGCACTCTCCTTCACAGCTTTGACCACTACGATCTGGTTCATGTGGACAGGATGGAGAACCAGGCGGCTGACCGGTTGGCAAACCGAGCTGTTGACACCTCAAGAACTCGAACCGAGTGTGCTGGTCCCGGTATTGATGGTGCTAGCTGTAGCTCGTGTGGCTCCTGCACCTGATTATTGAAAAAGGATCTCCAAGACGTACTGCTGACTTGATTGACGGTGCTACGGACATGGATATCTCACAAGGAGATGAAGAGTATGACGACACGACTGCCGATGAAAATGCTGCTGCTGATCTTGTCCGCTGCGCCAGAGGTAAGATGGAACGGGGCAGCCCGTTACATAAAAATTGTCATCATACAGAAACAATGATCATAAAGAATATTAAGTGAATATTCTTTGAACAATATCACCGATAATGGTGATATTGGTGAAGCGACCAAAGGTTATGCTCATTGGTTGATATCGTGATGATATTAATCCACCAATCGCCGCAAGACGCGCGCAATGAGTGATGACGAGACGTCACCATACACTCAGTTATATTAACATAATTAAGTCAGGTTAAACAGAGAGACAGTATCAAAAAGACTTAATTATATTAATACAACAGTTTTACTTGTTCCCTATCTACGCTTCCTCGTTTGCCTCGTGTACTTCTGTCGGGGCACCCAAGCCCTTGCGTTAAGTTCACGCAAGGGTGTGCCCTGTTACACCTGGTAGCACTTTGTAGTCCTTCCAAGGACCACAACATCCGACTTGTTCATGTTTGATGATGAAGAGGCCTTTCACACCACTCGTGAATAATATACTTATTTGAGTGGCATCGAATGAGGTGCGGTAGATCAAATGAGTTCTACCGTAGGCGAGCTCGCCATTTGCGCCATGTTAGAGTCTCTAGACAGAGACCAACAACATGCCGCTATCGCCAAGTTCATCCAAAGTGAACTTGTCGCCGAAAGGAAGAAAGTAGCCTTGCTTCACCAGCAAGGCTACCATCAGGCCGAGCAGTTGAGAGAACTCGGTGCTCAACAGACAGAGATGTTGAGACAGCAGCAATTCCATGCTGCTGTGGGCGGGACGGCACATGCGCGTCGTCCCGAGGTCATGAAGGTTGACATCCCCAAGTACAATGGAGTCCCGGAGGACTCCCTGTTACTATGGTTTGTCGAACTCGACAGAGCCTTAAGCGCTCGTCGCGTCGAAGATGAGCAAATGAAATTCACATTTGCTCAGACCCACTTGGCAGGGCGTGCCAAAACTTGGTCCCTGGGACTTTGAGAGTAGCGACCCACATGTGTTTAGGTCGCTAGATGACTTCAAGGACCGGCTCAGAGAAACGTTTGAGCCGCCACAGGCTGAGTTCAGGGCTCGTTCTGAACTCCTGAAACTCAAGCAGGGTAAGCGTGATGTGCACGCTTACGCTCATCATATACGACTCCTCGCGAGTAGTATAACTGCTAACCCAGTTCATGAACACACGTTGATTGCTTATTTTATGCAAGGGGGCGCAGAAGGGCCCGTCCGGAGCTACCTACTCCGCCTTGAGCTGAATGCGCTGGAAGAAGCGATATCAGACGCGAAACAGGAAGACTTTAGCATGAGACAGGCTTATGCTAGCTCAAACTCTTATCGTCCACCGAGACGACAAGAGATCTGAGGTCCAGAACCAATGGACCTCTGCTATGTTGAGGGCGAGAGACCTCGCTCTTCAAACAACAAGCCACTGCAGAAGTGCAATCGCTGTCAAAAGTTAGGGTACAACGCATATGAGTGTAGTGCTCCACGCCCAGTACCAAACAGTACTGAGCGAAATGGACATCCATTTGCCAGAAAGGGCAATGGGCGTGGGTCCAGCGCTGTTGCGAAGCCATAACAGCGAGATGTACCATCAAAAAATGGTCAGGGTCAGAAGGGGCGGAGCGACCTACTGATCCAGCAACCTGAAGAGAATTTGCAAATCTCTTGATGAAAGTTGCTCCAGATACACAATCATTGTGTGTCTCTCACCTTGAAGTTATAAGCGACAAATGATTTGTCGCTTCGTGCCCTAGTAGACTGTGGGGCGTCGAACAACTTTGTTCGTCGCCAGTCACTTGAGGGTCGTAGGCTCAAGTTCGTTGAGCGCGACATTCCCTCACTAGGATGACGGTGCGCCTTGCAACAGGCGCATCGATTACCGTTAATAAACGTGTAGTAGGAATCCACTACACGTTGGAGCGCGAACAGTACGATGATGAATTCATCGTACTAGATCTGGATGACAAATTTGATGTCATCCTGGGATTACCTTGGCTTAGAAAGTACGAGCCAAGGGTGAGCTGGCAGCATCGATCCGTAAAGATGCCTGCCACTTGTTCATCAGATGGCCATCTGATAACCATCTTGGAGCGTCCACAAGCGTGTGGATGTTCTGCGAGTGAGTGCGATGGCCTCACTTGCGGTTCGGTCGCTAGCACGACTTCACAAGATCACAGTGTAGTTGATCACTACACTGTGGAGCAAGCTCTTGGCAGCTGTATAAAAGTACAGGCTGCGCCGAAGGTCCACCACTCGAATAAGTCGAGTGGACCGGGACATGGATGCATGCCTAGCGGGCAGCATCTTAGACAAAAGAAACTTGTTGCCTCCCATGGGCAACATGAAAATCCTAGGTCGACTAGAGAGTCGACCGTAGAGGATCGGTTCCTGACTGTAGTTGCACAGCCACAGTCGGAAGACGTCGAGGGAATAAGTCCCCACGTGCTTGAGGAAGGAATTCCTCAAGAGTCAATTGCTGAGGGATCAGACCTTCAGCAACCTGTGGAAGCAAGTTCCCAGGAAGTAAACGAGACGTTGAACGTCTTGGTTGATGACGGGTCAAGCGTAGGCGCTTATACGCTTGATATTATTGTGACTCCGAGGTTAACTTCGATGATAACTCAGTTGCCAACTCTAGAACCGAAACGGTTCTTGCGTGATCTGCGTAGTGGCAAAGTCAAGCAGATCTGCGTACTCGTCACAGAGGACGAGTATGTGACCGACATTCGGTCGGCAACAGTATTTGCTGAGAACGAACGGGTTCTCAGCAGCTCATCGATGGACGAAAGTGTCCTCGATGAGAAGACTCGGATTGAGCGATACGCGTCCCAATCCTGGGAGTCACTTCAGGCAAATCCTTTGTATAAGGATTTGATCGAATTCAAATATGTATTCCCTGAATCCGTACCTTGCGAGTTGTCTATGGACATAGGCACTCGACACGAGATCGATCTCAAACCGGGCTCGAAGTACTGTTGTCATGAAGCAGTGGCCACTGCCTCGTGAACAAGTACTAGCGATCGACAAGTTCTTTGCCGATCGCTTAGCAGCGAGCCATGTGAGGGAATCAACATCCCCTTACAGCTCTCCGACCTTCTGTGTGCGAAATGCCACAGGAGGATGGCGGATAGTGCACGCGTTCGACAAGTTAAATGCTGCAACGGTACCACTCAGACGCCGACACCGAGGAAGGGCATAATCATGGATGGTATGTCAAAGAGTACCATCATTTCGTCCATGGATCTGATGGATGGGTTCTGTCAGATCCTCATGCGTGAACGGTACATCCCGTACACAGCAGTGAGCACCCCCAGCGGTATGCTGTGGGAGCGGCTAGTGATGCCACAGGGGATGAGTAATGCCCCTGCAACGTTCAACTGATGTGTTACAAATATGTTGAGACCGGTGCGTGATTTCGAACCGAGTTACTTCGACGATGTGTTCGTCCATAGTCGGGCTATGGACGGAAAGACGGACGTAGAACTTTATAGAACTCACGTCCGTAAGGTTCTTCAGCTTATGCGTGATCATAAGTTGTACGCCAACCTTAAGAAGTGTATATTCGCGGCTAGCGAAATTCCGCTTCTTGGGTGCATCGTGGGTAAACACGGCGTACGCCCTGATCCCGAAAAGATCAAGGCGATCACCCACTGGCCAGTGCCAGTCGATGTCAAGGGAATAAGGAATCTCCTTGGTTTAGCGGCGTACTTCCATAAGTACTCGCGCAACTACGCCGAGATGACCTTGAATCTTTCTTGGTTACTCAAGAAAAATGTCAAGTGGTAATGAAACGCTGAGTGCCAGCGTTCCTTCGAAGGTATCAGGCAAAGCTTGATGCAGTCGCCGATATTGGAGATTGCAGATCAGGACAGACCATTTCATGTGGTCTGTGACGCCAGCGATTTTGCGATCGGCTGTGCATTGATGCAATTTGATGCAGATGGCGCGGAGCGCGTCATCTGTTATCAGTCGCGTCAGCTGCAGGCAGCTGAGCGCAATTACACAGCGAATGACAAGGAACTCCTTGCCATGAAGTACGCACTGGATAAGTTTCGCGTCTATCTCCTAGGAAATAGACCGTTTGTTGTCTATACAGACCATGCGTCACTACGCAAGGCCGTAAACAGCCCACACCTCTCGCAAAGGATGACAAGGTGGCTGTCTTTCTTCGCGGAGTATAACTTCTCCGTGAAGTTAAAGACAGGACGACTCAATGTCGTCGCATATGCGCTTTCGCGCCGGCCCGATTTCGAGCCGGACGCACAATACAACAGTGAGGATAGGCCCATTGTTGCGACACTGAGAGTCAGTGTTCCGTCGTCAAGTTTACTTGACGACGTGCGAAAGGCATACGCAGAAGATAAGGATTTTCTGCGTTTAATGGATCATCTGGTGGATCCATCCAGTAAATAATTTAAGGATTTATTGGCCTTGTACGAATCCTCATCGGATCGGTACACAACGCGTGACGGAATGTTCTATTATACAGCCGTTGACGGCGACACGCCTCGTGTCGTCGTACCCGCTCATCATGATTTGCGTTTACGCATCATGTATGAGTGTCACGATGCCTCAACAGGTGGCCATCGTGGAAGAGATTAGACTTGCCTCACGGTAAGTCGTGACTTTTACTGGCCACGCCAGTATCAGCTTGTACGCAAGTACATACGTGCTTGCGAGGTTTGTCAACGGGTGAAGCCTGATCCTTTATCTTGTGCACCATTACAGCCTCTACCGGTTCCGGCAGATTGCTGGCAGTCCGTTTCAATGGGATTCGTCTTCGGGTTTCCCGAAGACGACCACAAGAATAATGGTATTCTTGTGTTCGTTAACCAGTTCAGCAAGATGGTGCAACTTGCTGCAGTGCTCGATTCCATCACGGCTCAAGGTTGTGCTCGTGACTTTCTTGACACGATCTTTCGACTCCAAGGGTTGCCCCGTGAACTAGTATCCGACCGTGACCCTCGGTTCACGGCGGCGTTTTGGCAAACCGTGTTCCGTTCTCTTGGAACACGATTGAAGATGTCTACCTCTGACCATCCGGAAACAGATGGTCAGACGGAACGTGCAAACCGTGTCCTCGAAAGAATCCTTCGAGGATATGTCCACTCGTTTTCGAGTTATAGCGAATTCCTTCCAATGATCGAATTCGCCGTCAATAATTCGGTGCATGCTTCAACCCAGCACACACCGTTTTACGTGGATGGCTTAAGCCATCCACGTGTGCCCGCCCTTCTAGAGTATGACTCTTGGATAAGGGGGGACTCTCTCGAGCAAAAACCGTTTTGGCTCTTGCTCATCACGTATCACCGCTCACACCGATACGTATGATGCTGATGTCGACAATGTCGACATCGATGAAGCACACCACCACAATAATAGCGTCAACGCTACTATTGATTCGGATGATAATGACGATGCTGGTATATCCAGCATCGTCAACGATTATTCCAGCGAGGAAAACGACAACTTCGCTGAAGAAGAGAGAAATCTCTTAGCAGTGCGCACGAAGCGCAATGAAAGACAAAACAACGAGTCAGCAGAGAACTTCCTGCTGACTCGAGAAGCGGTAGTCCGTTTCGTTCAGGACTCCATCGCAAATGCGGTGGACCGTCAGAAACGGAACGCAGACAAGAATGGAAGAGCAAATGTTCTTTCATTTAAAGTTATTGATCTAGTACTACTGTCTACGGTAAGCTTACCTGGACATGCAGTCACTAGTGTCGGCAGTAGCAAACAGCTGCTGAAATACATTGGGCCATTTCGAGTGTTGCATTGCAAGGGCAATGCATACACGGTCGAATTGCCACGTAGGATGCGCACGCGTCCTACGTTTTACGTGGGGCGACTCAGACCGTACTGTCATTACGAGCCTTCTTCTTACGATGAAGATAGCCCCCACGTTCAAAAACATCATCAAGTTCTTGCGTTCGCGCTCCAGACGATCCGTCTGGTCGCGCAGATATGATACATCGGAACTCAACGGAGATATCTCCCCACGAGCTGTCGCCAGCTCGCCGGAAAGGGAGCGGACATCCCGCTCGACCTGAAGCTGCGCTATGGCGTAATCGGCGCGGTCTCTCGCCCGATACGCCTCGTGATCCTTGTGGTTCTTCCGCACGGTATCGGTCAAAGCGTAGCGCCGGTCGTGCTCGTGCTTCAAGTCATCGCGCAATTCATCGATTGCGCGATCCATACCGTGAGGGTCGAGATGGTGAGAAGAATCATCTGGAGGAGGTCTTTCCTCCTCCACCACATCCTTTGGTGGATTCTCACGGTGGTCAACGCTTTCTAGTGGAGCGTATCTTGAACCACCGTGACGATTCATGATCAAGGACGAGCTACCTCGTCCAGTGGCGGGGATACCCACTCTCTTGGAACAGCAGGGATCCCTGCTCTCAGCTGTTGATGGACGTTAAAGGTCTCGTCCGCCTGTATGTCGAGACCCATCCGATTGGTCCGAGGGACCATCAATAAACACGCGCCCTAGGCGCTTGTAGACGGATTGCAAGTTTGCAATCGCGTCACGCATCTCAGCCGGGATGTGTGCCCTTCCCAAGGGTGAACTTAGGGAATAAACGTCCCTATGTGCACGCTGCGAGTTGTCAACACAACTCGAACAAGGGTCTCCCCAAGTGATGCAAGGAATGGCTGCTTCACTCGACAAACAGTGCAACCGGTACCTGGCACCGGTTGGCGTCGCTTTTCGAACCTAAGGCGTACTGCCTCAAGCTTCTTGAGCCACCCTTCTCGTCCAAAATTCCTTACGTTTTGGACGACCGCGTTCCACGCAGCCAGAAGCGAGGCTTTGTCACGCTTTTAGTTGCTGTTGTACCATCGATTTATAAGGAAGACATCGAGATAAAAGTCTTCCTCAGAGCGAAAGTTGATCGCACTGGGATTCAAGCCGTGAAGCTCAGTCTCATCGAATAAGGGTATTCGATGGTGTTGGTTTGTCTCTTGAGACAAGCCATTGATGAGCCGTTCGAGAAAACGCCACGGCTTCAGCTCATCACGATTCATGGTGGTACCCTTGTCGTTACCACGGTTGTCAGTATGACGACGGCTTGCACAATCATCAAGTCGCTCGTGCGAAGTAGCACGAGCTGATCGCGGTGATGAGCAATCAGACTCATCATCAGACTCATCATCACTGCCGAAAAGACTGTGACGCAGGTCACGAGTCCGTACTTCCGGCAGTATCGTGGATGAATGAGGCACCGCAGGTGAACGCGATGCCTCTGGAACATTGCCCGAGTCAGACACGTCTGACTCGCCGGAGTAGATGACCTCAACGTCAGGGTAATTATGCGCACGCGGTGCTGTAATGCGTGCACCTGCAGCACCTCTTGCTGCAGGCGAAGAACGAGCAGCAGACGTCGAATAGTCTGCCGCAGAGGCTGGAACAGCACCGGGCTGTGCGGGTCTTGAGTTACCCCGCATAGACATGTTAACTATGCGAGGTCAGGTTGAGTTATGAATGAAACGGACCCATCAAGTGCTCCATGTCCCAATGGCGCCCAACGGATGGCCGCCATATTTTTGATAGTCACACGGTGACTATCAGTTAAGGGGGGTGATGGAACGGGGCAGCCCGTTACATAAAAATTGTCATTTAAGAGATAATGACAATAAAGAATATTACGTTGAAAATTCTTTGAACAATATCACCAATAGTGGTGATATTGGTGAAGCGACCAAAGCGTCTGTTCATTGGTTGATATCGTGATGATAATAAACCACCAATCGCCGCAGGACGCGCGCAATGAGTGTTGACGAGACGTCACCATACACTCAGTTATATTAACATAATTAAGTCAGGTTAAACAGAGAGACAGTATCAAAAAGACTTAATTATATTAATACAACAGTTTTACTTGTTCCCTATCTACGCTTCCTCGTTTGCCTCGTGTACGTCTGTCGGGGCACCCAAGCCCTTGCGCTAAGTTCACGCAAGGGTGTGGCCCGTTTTATTGTGAGTCGAACATGGATGCCAAGGAAGGGCAAGAGGCTTCTGCTCATCGTCTGCCCCCTATGCTAAAATTCTTATAACATGTACCGTCACCGTGTGGATAGTCGTTGTCGTTAGTAGCTTGACCAGCCTCCTCGTCGACGGTAATATCATCGCTGTGAATCGGACGCGTCAGACCGGCACCAGCGGGAAGGTCGGTGCTTCCCACCGTGCACATCCAGTCCAAGTCGGCACCAAATGCTAGATTTGCCGACCCGGTGGCCCCGACAGGAACATCGACCTCGTCGGTAGCGGTGGTAGTGGCGGCGTCAGCAGCGGGGTTGTCGTCGTCAGAAGCAGCGCCATCAACATCATCGTCCTTTGCGCATTGTCGTCGACATCGCCAACGACGCTGAAGAAGGCGCTCGCAATGATCACGGCACCTTCGTCCCACGTCGTCACCTCGTTCGAAGGCGTGCTTCTCACCGGCAACGCCGAAGGCAGCAACCCGCTATACATGGCTCGGCACGCGCGAACAGCGATAAGATGTTCATGACGCGCAGCAGCAGACGTAGCAGCAGACACGAAGTAGAATAAAAGAACAAGGAGAATAGGTCTATATCAAGCGTGTGTATTGTTTGATGTTGAGGTGGGGGCGGCGCACGCGCTCACCCCCGCTGACAAAATTATACTGTGGCATTACTCAAAAGAGCATTCCTGAACACTTACAGCACCGGAGTGCAAGGGGCCTGCTCCGGCTCATGTCAACGCCCTCGTTTTTATACGTATATTGAACGCCAATTAGTAGTCATCCGTGGTACGAAAAATCAGCGAGAATTGGGTAGACAGGACGAACAAAATCCGCATGTAGTGCTACAACTAAGGGCTATATGGCTACATTGGGCTTGGAACGGCGGTGTTCTTGCTGGAGAGTCCCGGGTGGGCCAAAACAGGTCCCAGAACTAATAGTTCCTGCTGGCAGTGGCGCCGTCGCGAAGTACCTGAAGATGGACTCGGGGCTGCGGGCGTGAAGATCTTCGAGGCTGTTAGGTCGAACTTGATTATGGCTGACAGATAGATCGCGAAGTTAAAGTCGAGGGCTGGGATTGAGGTTGATGTCGTGGGCTCGACAGGATTCCGGAGCTGTAGATGAAATCACTTAACCCCGACGAGGTCCTTATCGTTTGCCGGTCCGGCGTGAAGAGACATTAGTCGGGGGCTTCGGAAAACAAGGTGGATCCCACCGCGTAGAAGCCCGAAGTGGCTGTCGAGATGAAATAGATGTCCCCAATGTCGATGATACTGAAGAAGGTATCGGCGCCTGTCTTGTAATTTGGTACAAAGGTCATGAGAACGGCAAGTGTGATCGAGACATGGGAGCCACAGGTGGCCTCGCGTTTCTTGACGTATCACCTATATTTAATCCGACTCAATGCATCCTCCATGCTTTGCAGCTTGCCTCAACACATGCCACCGAATTCGGACGATTGAGCTGGCTTGCGTTCCGATTGGTCAATTGCGGCTGCTCCTTCAACACCTTATAATTTGAGGGCAGCACCGATTGCAATTATCATTGAATCCAATCCGGAACTTGCACTCGCCATCCCATCGTATCCCAAAACATCTTTGCACGCTGTTACTTCATCAACTTTTCCGCATGACGAATATGCATGTTACCTTCAGCGGGATCGTCCGTCTTCTGAGATTCAAACGCAATGGCTAGGTCACAAATGTGAGCCGCCTTGGAGGCCGCGTCAACAATCTGGATATCGGGACGCAATCGACGTCCCGGTAGACCCCCCACATTTGTGTCGAAACGAGCCTTCAAACGGCCGGAGGTCTTGGAAAACATAAGATCCACCTCATGCTTAATCATCTCGAGCACACGGTTGTGGAGACCATCAATGGCGCAAGAATTGCCTGACCAGTTTTAAAGAACATTCGGGGAGTTATATCGTGATGGCATTATGAGTGACGACAAGACGCACTACCACGCTCATTCCACCGTTTGAGAACAGAGCGAGTAGGCACCACATCAACTCAAACCTGCAAAGCAAAACGGAACTTTGCATCGCTCATTCCACCACCATGAGAAGGAAAACAGCTTCTGGCTCTATCAATAGCCCGCAAACCGTTAGCTGAGCCCTCAATTCTTCCAATCGCTCACTCGCCGTTTATTTGAAGGGCTGGTGAAGCTGGCGGCTGATGTCGATGTGCTGTAGTACCTCAAAGCGATGTGGTAGCTTGAGTTGTAACATCGTTTTCGTCTCGGTCCCATCTTCCGTCTCGGCTCCATCTTCCGTCTTTATTGGTTTGGTCATCAGATTCAATCCACTGGCATTCAGATAGTTCTTGACGTCCACCCGCAACGACCTAATATCTCAAGACTTGCGCTTCCGGCGGGCAAATGGTGAAAAATTGAGATCTCCATTTTGGTAGATCTGGATAGCCGTGGGTATACGTCCACGCCAATGGTATGGGTCCATAAAAAATATCTTCTGGAATTCCTGCCACACTTGCTCTTGAGAAACATCACGAATAAGCAGGTCTGATGAGTGCAGCATCTGCCATGCATGACTGATCTGTAGCACATCTCGAAGGTCGACAAGCGGGGTAAAACCTAAACCACCGGCGGCAACTGGAGCGTGAAACATGGCAGTCGTGCTGGACTGGTTGAGCTTCAGAAGATGACGTAAGCCACGTGTCAAGGCTGAGTCCACACTGTCCAGCTGTGTCTTTTAAGCTTGTACGTGTCGCAACAGATAGTCCGCCTTGGGATAAACAGATGTCTTGAGTGCCTTCGTCTTCTGCCACGGTGCGAGCGAGGAGCAAAAAATCGCTGCCATCATGCACTTCATGTATTTTATAAAAGGTCCCATCAATCCACGGTGCTTGGCATGATTGAATCCGTCACCCATCCCAAGGTACTTGGAGCTTTCCGAAATATTTAGCGGCGGAATGATGTCACCGTCTAGCGTTAACTTCACTTGATCGTCACGTAAGTGACCATGTATATCTGTCTTTACCGAGAGAGAAGCACACTTAAAAGCATAGGCTTGCATGGTGGACCACCGATGAAACTGGACAACAACTGTAACATTTTACACGTCGACTGGTAGTCAACAATGGGTGTGGTGCACACAAGGGATTGGGTTTCCCTTTATATTGGTATATGAACAAAGTATCAATTTTTGAAGACTGGTGTCTGTCAACCATTGATTACGAGATCTTTTGAGAGATTTATTTGGTACATTAGCGAGTAGATTAATTACTTTGTTCAAAGGTGTTCTTTTTATTTAAAAGAAGAAATAAAGTTCATATTCTTTTTTGACCATTAAGATACACTGCCCTACGAGGCGTCTTGATCGGAAGAGCTAGCAACACCTGTAAATGTAGCTGCTCTTAAGCACTCTGTATTGTCATTCTCTTGATACTTTTGGTCCCCCTGGAACAGGGACCGTAAGCTCTCTGAGCTTGTTGATTCTCTGAGTCTGGTTCTTCGAACCAAAGATTCTCGTAGAGCGTTAAGTCTTCCTCTGACTTAAGGAGCTGTGTAGCTCCGCTACACTTGGTAGCATTCGTAGTCAATTTACGCCTGAGTCGTTACGACTGAGCCTCTGTGAGGAAGGAGCAATCCACGCCCCTCTCTGAGGCTCAAAGGTCGCGCTTCATAAGCTGACCGCGGCCGTGGGCCCAGAATATGTGGAGTTTCTAACTGCAGAAGGTCCCGATGTGCTCAATGCACGGGTCGAGACCTTCATGCAGTATGTAACGGTCCTGTAAGGGCATTTTCAAAATTAAGCAGCGTCGGCTACCAACACGCTACGTGGCGATGTCAACTATAGAGGCTAAGCCTCGTTCCCTTAGGGTAGAAGTTAAAGATTACTCCGGGAAGGAGATGGAAAACCTAACCTCTGGATCCGTGAGATTGAGATGGCCATGAGCTCTGGACATATCTCATTAGAGTGCCAGCGGGTCTCGATGGCTATTTCTAAGCTCGACGGAAGATCTAGGGAGTGGGCACTGACGTGTGGCACGTCGGCTGACTTTGCGTTTCCCACATGGGATTCGCTAAAGTTAGACCTTTTGCGAGTTTTCTCGCCGCCTAAACAGGCTTATCGTGTTGCTCACTCTTCTTGTCTACCCGTCAGGGTAAGAATGAGCTAACGGACTATGTCCAAGAGTTGAGAACTCTGATGGTTGCTATGCAGTCTGACCCTCTTCCTGAATCAGTCTATGTGACTGTCTTCATAGAAGGTCTTCGCGATGCCGTTGCCAGGACTGAGGTCTTTCGGGTTCATCCCTCTACTTTTGAAGAGGCGGTGGGCATCGCTCTGAATGCTGAGCACAACTTCAAGTCGGCCAGACTTGGTAGGAACGGATACAATCCGAACTTTGCGAGGGCAGTCTCAGCAAATACTTCGGCTTACTGTAAGCCCGACCTGATAGATCTCAGCCATGCTGAAGATGAAGGTGAAGCTGAGCTTCATGTTGCAGAGCAATGACAGGATGTGAGACGCTGAAATATGTACGGAAGCACTTAACACTTGCGTACCACTTGTTCTTTGCGTAAGTAACGACAGACTATTATGAGGCGAAACCACGGCCTCAACCAGAAACCTGGTATAACACGAAAACGTGGATACCCAGAAGGTGCAAGGCTCCCTACTGGGGAGTAACAGAGTTCTGTTGCTTCTCTACGAGGTAGAGTGAAACAGGGCTTAGCCCCACTGAGCTCTGTGCCCGCCAGCACAGAGCGTGGATACAAGCCTGGCTTGTTAGTCGATGAGGCGAAAGTTTAGGCTTTGAGAAGCAGTGGTCGATCATGATCGACTCCATAGCATCATGCAATTATACTAGACGTAGTTCCCTTGAGGGGAGTCAGCGATACGATGAAGCGATCAAAGCGCATGAAGGTGATTCGATCACCGTTCGTTTAGCGACTAGTAGTCGAGTCACGGGCCTAAAGTTCCGTTGAAATTACGTGTGAAGTTTTTGGACTTTGACAGCATTGAACGCTGTCTTGTCCTCGATTTGGTTTCGAGATCTGATCTCGTCCTGGGTATAATTTAGCTTGAACGCCATGAGCTATGGATTGATTGGATGTCTAAGACCTTAGGAGCAACGCGCAATGTTTCCAGCAAATCTGTGGAGAGTCATAGACCCACATTCGCAAGGCAACAAAAGCACTATTTTCACGAGCCGTTGACAGAGGATGTAAACGTACTGGACATGGATACGCCCTAATAAGTTAACTCCAATGTCAATGATATAAAGATTAAGTGGAGCTATTATACCGTATATGAAACGATGATACTTTATTGTTTGAAACTCGTTGTAATACTGAATCACTGCATGCTGCAAGCATGGTCGGTCCAGGGCCAAGCCATCAAGAAGGTATTTCCTCTGATATGATTAAAGTAGCACGTAAAATTTCACCGAGTGAGGGCAGCCGAGATGGCACCTCACCGAATGTCGGTAATGACATTAATGGCGAGAAGCCAGAGTATTCAGGGCTT